GTTCATCTTTGCGCCCAAAAGAATGATTACAACAGAAATTATACAGATGGACAAATTTGATGCTGATCGAAAATATATATACTTTGTGGAGGTCTCTAAAGCTTCCTTATATAGAATACAAAATTTTCGATTTTTATATTTACAACGAACCTTGTATTTATTTACTGGGCAGAGATACCCTCCTCGGAGACCCTTTATACATCCTAAGGGTAGTCGATTCATTCATTTACCCACGATTATCTATTTGAATATCAGTTTACCAGCAGTGTCAAAGTCAAATACAGTTGCTCTTCTGTTTCCATGTCACAGCCGTCTTGTGAGCCAGTGTCGTTGGTTTTTCAATTTCGGAATTCTTTCAACTTTAAAAATGCTATAGCCAATGTGAAAAAGATAAAGAGCGAGAATTACCAACTTATGCGATGTTGGCTAAGTATATTACATTTTTCTTTTTGTACCCATGATGCGTGCTTCTGGAATGACCAGCTTGGCGCACACTGAGTTGTTGATGACATACCATGAAAAAATGTAAAAAAAAAAATTTGATCTGCTTCGCACACTCAATCTTGGTCTTTTGATGTCTGAGCAGATTATTAAATTTCAAAATAACAAATTAATTATGTATAATGAGCAGGGAACTCACTGCAATTGCAAATTACATTAATTAATTGCCGAATCCTGAGCAATATTACAGCAACGCTACAAATTTTGCTTTTTCTTTTTTTCGTAATTTTCGTGGCCTAGAATTTTTATTTCAATGTAACCGTGGCGTCACAACATCGAATTTAATACAAAGTCACAAAAATCATGACAAGACAACATGTCCTCTTATAAGTAGTTATGAGTAGCAGTGTTCGGAGATGGTTGTAGAAACCTTTTAAAGACCTAAAGAAAATAAAAACATCTGAGAAAGTTATGTTCGGCGGAGGCTTTTCGAATTCTAGTCTACAAGTTCTTTGATTTGGTACACATATCGGTACATTTGATGTTATTAGGATAAAATTAATCGCGTTATCTATAGTATTAACTAGGATTAACCCATTTCTAGGCAGATAATATATATTCATCTTAGGGATGTACAAAAAAGTGAAAAAAATAAAATTGAATTACTTGTAACTTTATGTGGGCATGGTCGACTTTTTCCATTTTTACACATAATGGGTAGAGGGTTTCGTTAAGTAAATGTGGAAATTCCTTCCCGCCTTCTAACTTTTACACTTTTTAAGAAAAAAGTAGTTTCTCTCAGTTTACGCTCCACTGGGGAGTCCTGCTCTGACGAGTTTGGCGCATTTTCAATACTAACCTGGGTGCCAAAACTTCCAATGTTTCTACCAAATTTGAAGACGATATCTTGATCTTTGCGACCAACAACAAACACCACACAGATATATAGATGGGCAGACATAGCTTAATCAATTTAGGATTTCATTCCGATCAAGAATATATATATATATATACTTGATAAGATCTCTGAAGCATTCTATTGCGTGTTGCAAACACTACAAAAAAAACAAAAAAAAACAAAAGGAGTATGTCCCCATCCTTCAGCGGTGAGTATAAAAGCAAGCGACTCAGCTAAATTTTCACTTCCGACGATTATGGTAAATAAAATCTGATACTCTTAACTAAAGACTACTGTGTGGGAAGCCTTGCATTTCATTTTTTCGCATATTTCTTATGAGCTCGTGTTTCATCCATAAGGAAAACATTATATCTTGAAAAGATCTTGATAAAGGAGCGTCTTCTTATCTATATTCTACCCCAAGGCGAATAAATCTAGTTTCTCGTTACTACTTTTCTACAAAGTAAACCTTTAAAAAAAAAATAAACTTTATTTGCTTAAAGTCAAAACCATACAAATGGAAGAAATATTTGAAAGCGCAAATTGTGTAAATATATATATATAAATACTTGTGTAAATGTGCTTATATTTTAATGCGTTTATTATTCTATAGAATAATACTTTGACAATAGCATGTTATGTGTGCGATATGATAACTGGTTGAGTGAGCGAGTGACTGGATGACTGACTGCCTGCAGCAGACATTTCATGTTTGTAGAAAATTTTTCATTGCTTACGATTCTCATTGTTTAACAAAGCGATTGGCTGGCTGTGAAGTAGTCCATCACTGACATTTTAAGCATTGAATTTTACAACACAATTGCAGGGAAATGTAAATTTCCACAAACGCCATAAAAACGTAGTATATATATAGTAGTCCGATATACTTAGGTGTCAATTTGTTGTTCAAATTTAGTTTCACCAACCGTGACAATAGAATTGACAGCAACTTTAAACAAAGGTAATCAAAAGTAAAGGAAAATAAACAACAGTCGGCAGGGAATGCAATGGAAACGTTGTGGTTGAATGGGCGATTAAAATTTCCATCTGAAACCATACGCCCTGCATACGAACATATTTTGCAATTATAGACTGCGGTCGCAATTATACCGCATACATGCTATAATTGTGTTCGTCTTCGTTGTTAAGGCAATTGTGCCACAATAAATGCCACATTGTTGCAATACAAACTCTACCAAATTACGTTCCAAAATTAAGTAAATAATTTCCTAAAATTTTATAATAAATTTTTATAAAAAAAACGATATTTTCGTTACAACATAGGCATATACCCGTCGGTCTTTATCCAGCACGACCTTTGTTTTTAGGTTTCGACAATCCAAAGAAAACGAAACGAATTTTTTAAAACTAATCGAAAACACTATAACAGTGCACGACCCATCATTAAATATCATACATCACTTCGATTAATACAGTGATTCACATAACGAATTTTCAGAACAAGGTGGCAAGTGGTCACAAAACCGATACGGTTCGGACTATTTTCACTAGCGTTCATCCTAATGCCAAAATACGTCGATGTACAAAATTTTATCACAATATCCCAAAAGTGCGACTTGCAAGTTGCACGCACGAATAGATGACGGACAGAGAGGCTTAAACAGATTTAGAAATGACTCTAAATCGATGGTAAAGGAGAGGCGTATCGCAAGTCCTTCTGAATGTTGTTTACATCCGAAAAAACTTGTTGATGACCAGTACGAGTAAGCTACGCCGGCTCGTCTTTTTTTTTTTTTTAATCAGATAGAGAGAAAAAGTAAAACGTGATAAATACATTTGTAGTCGAAATTGAGAGGTACTTATCTGAATCCACGATTTTCAATCTATAATTTTGCACCGATATTTGTCAAGCTTTCCAAACATTTTATATTTGCCTAAGATGACGGGTAACCGCTCTATGTTTCGCTCTATGGAAAATGGAATTTTCATATATAATTGTCTAATTTAGCAAGATATCATCACAAACTGGTAGAACACGATACATTCATAAATTATTACCTTGCTTTACCATAAAACCGCAAACGAAAGGAAAACAAGACGTCCTGTAGATAGATAACACGCAGCACAATGTTTCCTAATTGAGATAATGCCTAATTAATAAGGACAAGTGTATCGAAACCACAAACATTGCAAAGTTTGGTTAGAGCTTTTATATCCTGTCGAAAAGCTTTTACCATTTAAAATGACTTTAAACATTTATTACAAGAATCATAAACTTTGCTAACAGTCGTGAACTTTTCTCAGAATTTTAACAGAATTTTTTCATGTTAAAAATCCCTTAAGCTTTTCAACTTGAGTGCAATAAATTTTTAATCTAAACCTATCTACCTATAATGGAAAAACTGCTTTCAAAAGTTCCATTGACTTATAGGAAAAAGCTTTGTTTTTTTTTTTTGGGAAACTGAGAAGACCTACAGTAAACAAAAATCTATCTAAAATTTTAATCTATGTATATATATCAATCCAACGAGGAACTTCGTGAAAACTTAGATAAAAGACATTCATGGACCCACCTGCACACGTATCCATGGTATATAAAAGACTTAAACTTTCTGAAAAGTATTGATTTAAGACCTACTGCTTATAATTCCTACGGATAGGTCGAAGCGAATGTAAATTTCTTTCTTCTTATACTTTAAAACAGGTATGGAACAGGATTCGTTAAGTTGTGCAGATGCATGTAACATCACATAACAATTTCAAATAGACCCATTCTTCGAAATCGATTTAAATTCATTCGGTCTGTCCGATGCCTGCCCATCTGTTCTTGTGTTCAATCCAAAAAAATTAAAAGTTGAAAAAGTTTTTATATAGAAAAGCAAAGACATTTACCAAGGTCTGTAAACAGCCTTATACGACTGTATTAAGGAGTTAGAATCAAGATATAGTTGGACTTGGAAGTCTGTCTACTCGGTCCAAGTGATGGGTATAGAATTTATTCCGGCATTGTTGATGAAAACAGCAACACCATTAATCTAATTTTTGAATAAGCCCAGCTTTACGTTTCGCTTCCGTTTCCGTTAGTTGGTCCGTTGCTGTATCTCTGTTGCTGTAACTTTCACTAAAATGACACAAAGAGCTAAATTTGATCCTTCGATTCGCACATGAACCTTTAAGGCTTAAAATAAGTAAAACCCCGAATCCTCCAACTAACAATCTATTTTACGATTATTTTACCTCTGACTAATAAATCGAATAAGACATGATATTTGTTAGTTCGCGAAAACAGCGGAGCTGAAAGCTTAGGGAACAAAAGTTTACATTTTTTTTTAGCTCGAGGAGGACAAAGTACTCGTGTGGCCGAAACGATGGCTAGGTTAGCATTCCTGAGAATATTCAGGATGTTAATCATTTTAATATCGTCAGTGTGTGTGTGTAAGTATGTAAGTATAATATATTTGAAAATGAATTTTAATTTAAGGAATATTTAACCGAAAGTGCTAAGGGGGCTATAATATTTTTAATTGTTAATAAAGCCGAAATTCGTTTTTCAAAAGGTATGAATGAATGAATGAATTTAATCAAGTTCATCCAATCTCGCTATTGCGAACGCAAACCTCGCTGATTTTCTTATTGTTCCGTTATTTGATTTTATTTTTTTTTTTCTTCTTTCTCTTTTTCCCTTTCCGATTAATAACAGGGCACAACATGGCCTCAGTACAATTTCAATCATTTGACAAGAATTCATACAGTACAGCTATTGAAATCAATCACAAAGAAAATCTATCCATACTTTGCACGTCCGCCAAAGTTGAGAGTCTTATTCCAGCCACTACAACGTCGTCTATTATCAACAGTAGAAAACAATTCAGTGACAACAAAGCATCTGACAATACATATAAAAAAGTTACGATTGTGTACGAAGAAGAACAAAATAAACGGAAAGACAAAAGTGTTCATACAAAACCGGATATACTTGCGTTCACGCGTGAAAATTTCATTGAAAACGATTCTGTGTTCATTTATAAGCCAAATTCAGCAGAAATATGGCCAAACCATTTGCAAGGTGATGGGTGTGGCGATTGCTGGCTTCAGCAAAACTCAGTCACTCTTACAGATAATCATAATAATAATGGTGATGACAAGGTTAATAAATTTGTTACAAGACAAGAACATCAACAACAACAACAACAAAAACAAAAACAATACACACCGGGTAACGGCTACCTATACGCTTGGCATAAAGCAAACTTTAGCAAACAACAGCAACAGCGGCAACAGCGATGGCTTTTTACACCAACTGCACACAAAACAACCTCAGCCATTAGGACAATACGTAATAATGTTAACGGCATTCTTGATGCTTCTTATGAACAACAATCGGTTGAAAGAAAGTTTCAAAGTCATAAAACGAATATTAATGCTTTTAACGCCAAACACAAAATGCCATCGAAAATTAATATTAAAACTAAAACTCAAACAACAACAACAACAACAACTTCAGCAAGAAAAACAACAGCAAAATCATATTTTAAAAATATACCGCAATTACAAGCTTTTACAGCAAAAACCGTTAAGGAATTATGCCAAAGAATTAATGCTACTTCAACAACAACAACAACAAGAACAATGTCATCGTCGTCACCAATGTTATTATCGAACACACAATTATCAAAGTTATATGAAACTAATAAATGCTGCCATAGTGATGATAAACGAAAACAGGAACATCATTATCAATACAAACAAAAAATGCAAAAAAATTGCCTCAAAAAATCTTTACAATGCGAACCATCATCATCCACAGCAACAAGAACAACATCTTCTTCAACTGAAAACATTCGAGATTTCAAAAATCATGTCAATCTATCCCATAATTCGCTTAATAGAAGACAACGAAACGAAATCTTTAAAAGCAACGACATCATCATCAACAACAGCATTTGCAAACAATACGCAAACATTGAAAAAACTTGGACAACAACAACAAGTAGAGCAGCATTTGCTGCTATTAATTTTCTTATGGGCTGTCAACGTTTGGCTAAAACTTTACTATCACTGTTGGTCATTTTTAATATGCTGCCATTATTCTGTGCAGGTAAGTGTCCTTTTACTCTTTTTTCACTTTTTTTTCTTTACATAGATATATTAAGTGTATCTGTACGTGAGAGATGAGCACGAAAAAAGAAATGTGCATTGTATGGGTCCAATAACAAACAGTCACGCATAACTTTGTGACCTCAGCTCAAAACTGAAATATAAAAAGGATTTTTTTTCGTTCTTTCTTTGGGAAATGATTGTATTTCTCGTAAGAATGGTTTTAATGGTTTCATAACGTTCAGGATATACTGATATATATATAGCTCTATAAAGTTTGCTTTACATTTGGGGTTTTAAGCAAACTATTGTAGCAAGAAATTTTTGTCGTCTCTTAATACTTAACAATCGTAGCTCATAAATTGCACACTTTGTCCGAAAATATCGTTTACATTAATTTTTTCTATCAAAAATACATAAGCATTTTTTACCTTGAGCTTTAGGTCTATTATATGTTTTATGTATTTTTTTGTTTTTTGTCCGAGAATATGGTTTAGATTTTGATTTTTTTCTCCTTGCTCGATAATATACTGTCATAGGCAAATATGGTGAAAATCCTGATCCTTTTCTTCTCAAATCCGAACAAAGCTTTTACATTTCCTTGTTTTTCCTTGTCCGATAATGCAACAACAACAGACTTAAAAGATGACTCGACTTTCTCGTTTGCAAAAATATATATATATATATATATTTTGCTATAATCTTCATAAAATATTAATTATATTTTAATTTTTTCGTATGCGGAAATTTGGTTGACACATTAAATATTTCTGTTTGTCCTAACAAATTATATTATATTACTTTCTTTTCCTACAATGCATGAAAAATAAACTTTACATACTGAATGTTTTCTTATCCTGCCCATCTTATAGCACTATCAGTAAGTTTTATAAAAAACACAACATTTTAAGAGCCTTACTGTGTATTCGACATAAAAGGTAATTGTTAGAGAAGTGTTCGCTTTTGCAAATTCTGGGCCAAAAAAACCGATGTCGAAAAGGATGCTGTATAAAGAGCCAGATTAAGTTTAATCGAATAATATTTCATTAACTTGCATATAGACAGACAATATTTGTCCACTGACTGATGAAATTCCTAATCAAGCTAATCAAAGTCAAAGAAAGTAAGATTTTCCAGTCTATGCTCACGTCATTGGTTCAGAATTTATACCAAGCGCCAACTATGTTAAACTGTGCTCCTAATATTTGCAAAAATAATTCACGAAATAATAAAGTCAAGAGGATGTACGATCTATTCTGGGTGACATTCGTTGGCTGACTATACCTAAACTGCTGTTCTCCCCATACATTACTCTACGAATCCCACACATCGTTCTGCTACTCGGAGAAGGCATGAGTGCAAAATAAAAATGTGTTGATCAATATTTGTACTTACCCTACACATGGCTCAGCCAAAATTGCTTCCTGAAAAAAAGCCGCATTCTTTTAAATTTCTATTTCTTTTATTTCCATCTTCACTATCTTCGCCTATACAAGTTAAATGATTCGTGAAAATAATCATCTACCTACGTGCATCTATCTTGTAGACATTTTTTTCAAATAGAATGTTTGATATGAGAAGTTATCGCTTTTGCATCTATAAGCTACGGTAATCTTATGAAAAAACTTGCACTCATACATTGACATTAGCCGAATTCATTCATAATTATTGCCTGTGTACACAATGTGCACATCTTGACAGAAGCACATGCACACCCACAAATTGAAGTACATCAAATCCGTTAGAATGATTTGTAAACGCTAAGATATCAATGGAAAATTTTCTTCACGTGTTCGTATTTTTCTCTCGTTATCGTATAGCAATGAAAAGAATAAGAAAATGTTTCACTCTGCTCTATATAGACTCCTTCTCGTAGTTTAAGAGTTAACGTTTCGGATTGGTTAACTACAAGTGAATGCATGTGTGTGCATTTGCTTATAACCGATGTATGTGTAGATAGGCGAAAGCTTTAAACACCCCTTTGACATAACGAAATATTGTAGCTTTTAAGCGCTGCCACATACAATCATCTCCATTTTGTTTCATTCTTCGAATTATTGCACGTTTCAGGATTTGAAAATCTCTTATCAGATATACTCGGAACGTTTCCACAAAGCTAAAAATCATTTAATGAGGCACTCGTTTGGCGAAATAACTAGTAATCTAACATATAGATAAGAGGGATTTAACATGCATAGAAATATGTTTCGAAGCTTTCAAAAGCTTTTATACAATTATGCTCAGAGTGAAAAAGAATCTGTCAATCTGATCATTGACATTCATTGCTCTGCATATATTTTTGGGTATTACTCTTGTACAACTTGTGGCAAGTTGTTGTTTTGGCAAGCAGTATTTAACATCGCGTATAATATTGGTCTAAATTATACTCTCATTGAGACAATAGCGTAGATGATGGTTTGGGGTGGCCTACAAAAAAGAACCTCGTCTACGCACACGTGCTTGGAATTTTTTTTTGCTTTCCATTGCCCGCAGATGAAAAGGCTGCAAATTCAGTTCGCCTCCTGTTAGCAAAGAAATAGAGAATTTGTGTTTTTCGTATATTCCCCATTGAAGGTATGGCGCAATTCGACTGCTTCTTCCATTTGCTGCTAAATCGAGAAATATACATGAGAGACCTCATTAAATATACATTAAATCAGTCAATTGCGGGGATAACTACCATCGATAAGAAAAACTACTTTTTTCATATTTATATTATATAGAAGATATTTTCTAATTTCACGTCTCCTGATTGCTTAGTATTTTCCACGAAACAAAAACTTTACACGTTATGTGGACTCTTTACGTATTTCTCTACTGTTGCCTGTTATAAAAGGCAACCTCCTCTTACAAGCTTGATCTAAATCCTTTCCCTTCATTTGTTAACCGGTTTAGTTCAAATGTCAACTGATCAGACTTATGAAACATTTTCCACAATCCGGGAAAACCTAATAAGCAAGAATGTAGTACCGTTGTGAGTAATGTGAAAATTATTATCATTTATGCACACTGAGTGAATTTAATATGTCTGCTAAGTTGTCTGAGCATGTAATGTTTTTACGCGTCTTGTTGGATTAGCAGCAAAAGATAGCGCATTAACTCACTGCGATGCAAAGTAGTCTCAGACAAGTTATTAATTTTCTTGAATGCCAGAATTCTTTTCTTTCTATGACCGTTAGTTTGTTTTTTCGTCTGTCTCTTGACGTCTAGAGTTCGTTTCGCATAACGAACGTGTTCGTAGATTAATTAGGAAAACCAATAAAGCCGATGTTCCCCTGCAAGCTATGTTCGCGTAATAAAATTTCTCGCTTGTTATTTTTCATCTATTAATTATGCTATGTTTGAAGTTTCGTTGAGACAAACAAGTGGAGAATTCTCACTACAGTAGCCCACGATGGGACACAATCAATTAACATGCCGTGTCTCTACAATTTCATTTCATATTTATCGTACGCTAGCCATGACGTTTTTTGTCGCTTTGCCCAAAAAAATAGAAAGGTATGGCACGTATCGTTTATTCGTCGAGAAAAAGATATAGTAGCCAAGCAAACGTACGAAAATAATGCGATTGAAATAGAATTCACGTTTAGGATACGTTTGCATGGCGTATTCTCTATTAATGGATGAAAAGCGTAAGAAAGCTTTTGCTGTACCCTTACAATCGATGTACACGTATCGCGTATCCTTTCGAGCTTTTTAATAAATGAAATCGAAAGGAGCATTTAAGCTTTTCCCGCAAGCTTTTTAACGTTTTCAAAGCTTACTCTCACTCTCTCTCTCTCTCTCTCTCTCTCTCTTTGTCCTACCTTCATTGGCTCTCGATTTTCTTTCGCTGGAATCATTAGCCGGAAAATGACTTGTTGTTATAGGCGATAAATGAACTTTTTGAAAAGTTTCCCATGTGTTTACTTACACAAATCATCATTACGATTTAGTCGATTTGTGTCGGCCGTGCACTTATAACGTTTAAACGCTCTGCAAAATCTTAAATAACGCCTACAAATATTTTTAACGCTTTAATTCAGTCAAACTTACTTTTGTTTGCACTTCAGTTTCATTTTATTAAGAAGAGAAACAAGAATACGCGCGCGCATCTCGCCACCTCATTGGCCATACGCGAAAAACTAAAAATTTAATTATTGCATATTAATATTCTATTGAAGAAATTTCATCTAAAAGAGAAACAAAGAAAAAAAAAAGAAAAGAAAAAACAATCCAAACAATATAAGCGATATAAAAAGAATCAACGATTGCTTCTTTTTCTTAATTAAATCTTTTGCTTTGCGAACGCTTTGCCGTCTTTTCTTTTCAAATACGTTTTTTTCCTTTTTTTTTTCTTTTATTCAATTTCCTTTCGATTTTCGCTACTCTGCGCGCTCTATGTTTGAAATTATTTGCAAAATACTTTTTGTAAAAACTACTAAAACAATTCAATCCATGCGCTTTTAAAAACAATTTCGCCTAAAATATTTCTTAATATATCTCCGTTTAATTTTGCGAGAGAATATGAAAAACTTTATAAACAAGAAACAATAGCAAGCATATTAAAATCTTTATCTATTCGAAACGGAAATACCGCCAAAATTTTCGTGGGTGTTTATATGTATGCGTAATATATAATCAGCAAACAAGTTCCCCCATACGTAAAACGATGAACTCTTGCAATATGAGCTCCATTTGTTGAATCATTTTATGTTGCACGCATCTCTCGCGATTTATAATACATTCAACGAAAGCCAAACCAAATACCAAGAACAGCCCGCATCACCGTACATTTCAGTGAGTTTCTGTTTTCTATGATTTAATAGAAAAAACAAAAAAAAAAAAAAAAACAAAGAAACAAAAACAAAAGAAAATTTCATTTGAAATATTTACAAAGAACTTTTAGCTTAATTTTCCCAGAAATATTTAAATTTTAAACAAAAATGAAATGTTGATTTTATTTACGTATGTGAACTTGTAGGCGAAAATTTCAATTATTGCCGTAAGTTATTGCAATCTGTTGTTCTGGATCTTCTTCCTCGTCTCTTCGACAATAAACATCAATTCTGGATGAAATCATTATCATAAGTAAATAAATAGAAAATGTACAATGATTGCGATCTCGTATCCGAAATTCAAACATGCGTTCACTTTATTATTACATTTTTGTGATCGTAACATTTGTTTTTATAAACCTTGATAGTTAAATTTAATCGGCAGCATCAGCAGCACAGCAGCAATCTGGGAATATCGATAAATTCTCATTTGATCTTCCATTAAATCAAAAAAGTCTTAAATGGACCAAGCACTTCCTAAGTGCTTGGTTTTAAAAATAAGTAGAATTTTTGTTCCCTTCAAAGAAAAATATTTATAGAGTTCTTCAATGAGGATGACTTTCGCTCAATTGTGTTACCAATAAAGAGATTGATTTGTGGGCCTCACGGTATCTTCTTGATACTGCATATCGTAGATATTTAAGTTTTAAAATGTGTTCTCAAGCTTACTTTAGTCTCAAATTTTGGCGTCCATTGTCAACGTTTCCTTTACCCTCGCTCTTTTTCTCTCTCTTTGTTCTCACCGCTTTTCTGTATTCTTTGCTTTCATTGTTTCTGAAAAATTGCAATATCTATTGGCTCGTAAGCTTTCTTTATTCACCAATTGAGACATTTATAGCGACCGTAAGTTGACGTGGCAGCCGGTAAGGCTATCGTGATCATTAAAAAAAATCCACTTTTTTTGGATGCTATTCAAGCGTTCGAGGGAAGTTTAAAGCGTAAGGGATCTATCTAATCTACGAGGAAAAATAAATAAAATTAAAATATATGTATGTATAACGAAGCTTCTATGAAAATATCTTATATAATCAAGCTCCTATCTCTCACTCTCAGTCACTTTTAGAAAAATTTTCGCCAACAGTCTAAACTTGGCTGTCTGCCTGTTTGTCTTGCAATATTATGTTCAATCTAGGGATCGTCATTTCTTCGAATTTTGTGCATCGACGTGTTTTGGTTCGGATCGGAACACTTCTCAACCGCTTTCTGCATAATGTCTTAGTTTGAAAAGTTGCTGTATGAATAACAATAGTGTGTGGTGTAAGGTATTTAATAGTGAATTGCGGGTCGCCGTAGCGTTTCCACTTGTTAACAATATAATTCTTCCCTCAAAATTTATCATTATTTTTTTCTTCCTTTTGAGGGAATTGAAGCAAAAACAGAACATAGCAAATCGGTGAACAAATGGTCGCTGTGTGAACAGATAAATGGGCAGATGAACTCTATGAACCGATTTAAAGACCATCTTACGAATTTTTGCCAATGAGCCAAGGGATGTACGAATGTTTAAAGGTCTAGGCCGATAGGGGGACTTCTCGCGTGACTGTACATAAATTTATGTTAATAAATAATTGCGTACATAAAATGATTGCGACTATTTGAAGTTTGCGCATGCGTAAAACTAACAAAATCTTTAATCTCTCTAAAAAAAGAAAGATAACTAATTGAACTCCGAAGTTTACGCTAAATCATAATGACATAGATGACATAGATGAGAGAAAATACTCAGAATTTCAAATAGTGATCAGTGTATTAGTATGTACTGTAGTTTACAGGTTATACGATGTCAATATTTGATGACGATAATTCATCTATGTACATCCATTATTAAAGAAAGGATGTCTGATTTTTTTCTTATGTACTTGACAACGCCAAGGGACCATACGTTTCCAACAAATGTATTTTACGCATTTCCGATGGTTCTAGAATTCTACATGGACTGAATCCCAGTCTGTTATCGGTTATTGAGAAAAACAAAGATAAAAACCGCAACTGAGCACATGTTCAAAATTCAAAAATATCGCGAGGTGAAGCTGCAATGGGTTTGTCCTTCCCGAGCGTAAGATTGAAACTTTGTCCATTCGTCTGTCTACTATTGGAGAACTTACGCCCGTAAAAACTTGGATAAAAAGTAATGAGTTAACATACACACACTTAACTACTAGCCACAGGTTTCCACAACAGACAAGGAACTGCATATTATTGCCTACAGGAGGTACTGATCTAAACTAGTTTGGCTTATGCTATGATGAAGAACTTTAACTAACATCTCTCGTAGTTCGCTTTAACCTGCACCACTATTAAGTCTCATAAAGTTATTATTATCATTATTATAATTAATTTAGCCAGAGAAATAAATTCAAAAACAAAAATCTTCGCATCTAAAGCTAACGGCTTCATTGCGAACTCTACTGCACTTGAGAATTGAAGTCTCGTAAAATCCCATCAGAGTATCGTATATAATGTTTGTCTCCCTTTGAACATGTAATGCACATAAAATTTTCCCAGAAAATCCATTAGCATTTTATGCCATGACGTGTTAGAGTTAATATATAATTCAACAAAACAAAACAAAAGTTTATCAGCCTGTCATAGTCAATAAAGTGAGCATTTTTTGTGGCGATGAAAGTGCAGTAATTTCTGAAACAGGTAAAGCTAACTACTGCGATATATCATTCGTAAAAATTGCAATTATTTGCAGAACAAACAATAAAGAGAAGGTATCTTTGATGCTTTTCCTTGATAGTTTTCTCAGAAATGTTAATCAATTATGCCATCTCTTCGAAACACTTAATAAATGAAAAATCATAAATTTTAATATAAATATAAGCAAAATATAGTGTAATGTAAGAAAAGTAAGAAAACTATAAGCGGCTGCGGCCGCCACAAAACTCAAAACACTCGCTACATTCGAAATACAGATGCTACAGGTGGAAATTTTTGTGATCAGTATCCATCGAAGTGTATATATAATGAGTAGCGAAAGCAGTTTTATTTCCTTTTGAGGAGAAAAATGGTATTAAGTTAGATTCTAATGTGCTTTGATGACATTTAGTTCATTTTCAATATCAGGCAGCGTGCAAGAATGTCAAAAGTGTTGGGCCGATCTTCTCACTTTAGATTGTAGAGAGTATGCTTATGACAAACACATCCACACGGGCGGATTCCGTCTGATCGTTACAAACATATTGACAAATTAAATATATATGGTAACAATCTCCGGTTTTATATATAAATTATATAAAATTAAGTTTTTCAGAAAAATATTTTATAATTATTCTGCTCGAACAAAAGCTGAACATGTGTCGAATTACCAGAATTACAGTTACAAAGAATTTTTACATTTCTTGGAAATTAAAAATCGATTCTTTAGCAAAAACCATCCGAAGGTTGCCAAGAGCTTATATGCTTTTGAAATAAAATCTAAAGGGGCTTTTCAAGTTTCTTCTGGACATAGGGACAATTCCGGTTAACTTTTTTCTTAATATGATGAACATCTCTGAGAATGTCCTCTAGAAGTATAATAAATTGATGGTTAAAAGGGTGACGGAGAGGAGCTAGGGTGTGGCCGCAATCTGGTAGGTGTACGGCCAATCGACAAATATTATCACCGAACACTTATTATAACTACGACTACATAATTAAGGTATAGACTATCACATTGATAATTCAACCAGCATATGCCGATTGGATAATCGCTCTTCTTGACAACTTGGCTATGCCGTGGCCTTATCTTATTGGTATCTAGAATTTATAAAACCAACTTATGCTTCATATTTCTCCATAAACCATGTATATATGTATATATTGGTAAACGTCAAAATTAATCATATTATAGTACGTTTTTATAAATCTGGTGAAAAAGAGAAAAAAAAAAGTAATCAAAAGACTCCTTTAGTACCAGAAATCCTATGTAGTTATGATAATAAATTTCTTTTTTTATTTTATGAAAGCTCCACATATAGCTACTCATACCAATACATAAATAAGTACATAAATGAAGTATATCAGTAGCAATACTTAGGTTAAATGCCTTTTCTCAAACACTCACTTTATTATGCAAACCTTTTTTGTATGTATGTTCAAAAAAAAAAAATAAATTGCTTTCTTTTGTCCGCCCTTATTATAACGTATAATACGAGTCAACGTTATTAGCCAACGCCTAATAAATACACCTTAAAATATGGCATTGTACGAAATTATTTATTAACTTGAGTAAAAAGTCAGATTTTTTTGATAAAAAAAAAAGAAAATATTTTTCATAATTAATCCTAACGTTCGTCTCTCCATATGGTATTATTTTAAATACTTACAAAAACATTAATCTTCATTATAATGAAAGATTGACTGAACAAACAATGAATTGTTGAAAATCATTTTATTATACTCTTGGCGATGTTCCCTGCCTCTCTCTCTCTCTCGTTCTCTAAGTATCAGCAAAAAATATTATTAAATGCTAATATGCTAATATGATTTCACAATTAAATCTCCTTATATCCCGGGAATATAACTATGGGAAGAGTTTAGAGAAGAGGGCAGATATTAAATACAAATCCACAAGTGTTCAGTCGATGTATATCGGTTTTATCATTTCATTCGCAACAATCAAAGACACAAAAGAAAATCTTGTTTTTACAATGTCCTTACAAGTGTTTAACAGATAGTGTAGTGTATGAGCCAAGGATCTAACTTCTAAAAACATACTACCCATCTTCATATGTAGAATGGGGTAAGCTTGTCATCTAACAGCATCTCTATGTCCCTTAAATCTGCTTTTTGTCAACGGAGTCCTTCAGTTTTTGAAAGACAAAATGTTTGCTCGTATGCCTTTTCTGAAACGATACAAAAAAATAATGGCTGCTTAAGTTAATACGTGTACTATTGCTCGCCTCCAACAACACGACTTAGAAACGAACTTTCAATGCCTCCGCATTACGTCTACTTAATTGCAAAGTCCTTTATGAA